TTTTTGCGTTTCTCCGTCTCTCAAGCTGTCTGCATACACGCGAACTAGTTCCTCAGTTTTTGAGATATCGACACATGAAATTTTGTACACGTACTTTTCTCCGAAAGAGGCAGCTCACTTGTCGGAATCGCTGATATCGGACTACTATAGCATAAAGCTGCCGTACAAACTTAGCGATAAAAGTCATGTCCTTGTGTGAAAAACTTTTTTGTATGAAAAGATATTCGCACGAAATTTCGCATGGATTATTGCCTAAGACAATGTTACAACATTCCAAAAAATTGTCTGGATCGGCATACTCTACCACGTAGCTGTCATACAAACTGAACATTCAGAAACGAGTTCTTATAGAGAAAACTTTTGTACATGATGAGACATCTTTACAAAATTTGTCATGGACTATTTTCTATGACAATGTTACAATATGCGAATAAACTTTGGACATCGGCTGACTCTAGCATATAGCTGCCATACAAACTGAACGTTCAGAATCATGTCCTTGTATGAACAACTTTTTCACTCGACGAGATATCTTCACGAAATTTGGGACATATATTTCTCCATAGCCACGCTAAAATATCTTAAGAAATTTTTTAGATCGGGCTACTATGACCTATAGCTGCCATACAAACTGATCGATCAAAATCATGTCCTTGTATGAACAACTTTTTTATTTGATGAGCTATCTTCACGAAATTTGGCTCATATTGTTGTCCATAGCAACGCTCAAATATCTGGAGAAATTTTCTAAATCGTACTTCTATAACATAAAGCTGCCATACAAACTGATCGATCAAAATCATGTCCTTGTATGAACAACTTTTTTATTTGACGAAGTAGTTTCACGAAATTTGGCAGATATTATTCCATAAAACAATGCTACTATATTGCAGAAAATTTTCAGGATCGAACCACTACAGCATATAGCTGCCATACAAACTAAACGTTCAAAATCAACTACTTGTATGGCAACTTCTTAATTTATGAAGGATATTCAAACTTCAGTGTAACCGAAATCAACCTTACTTAAAACTATGTTGCATAATACTCTCTTCCCGCCATTGTAAGCTTGGCAGCGAAATATTTTCATCTAAAATATTGAACTGATATAAAATGCAGAACCTTATAACAGCCGATTGCTTCCGAATAAGTGTAAAATATGTACGCATTTATTCCACACGCGTGCGCATAATTTCTTCACGAACAATCGGAGAAGACGCTGATGGGCCGTAAATATGTTTTGGATACATAAATGCGTGCTGCTACATGGTAAGGGGCACCATAAAGCGCTGCAACAGACATGTGGCATGCACATTGTGACATAAAAATGCTGATGTTGTTGTTGTTTTTGTTGTTTTGCGTGGTCACCAACTAGTAATTCTCACCATAATTTACGCTTTGCCACAAAATCTGCCATATAAAAGGCAGTCACTACCCGCTCGCACCCTAACACACATAAGTTGATATTGGCTTTGTCATGCCAACACGCCACCACAGCGTCAACGCCAACGGCAAAATACCGAGCTGCCACATCATTACTTACCGCTGCTCCTCTGCTGCTTGACGGTCACCAATAACAACATCAACAGCAGTAACAAAAAACACGTGAGCCACACATCACTGACGTCCCTCATGGCCGACTGTCGTGGTCGCATTTAAGCTGTGTGGCTGTCGGCTTCTCAGTGACCACAACACATAACAACAGCCGATCGGTGGCGCGTTGCTTGCCACGGTGAATGGTGTCTCGTAAATTTCTTATAAAATATGAAACATGAAATTAGTTGACTATTGACGACGCGGCCGATTATCGCCGTTGCACACAAAGCGGCTCAATAAGTCGCCGCGTGCAACACATACCAGCAGGGCTGCCTCATACACGGCTCACAGCTTGTGCGCGGCGACATTTGCTGCATGCGCAAGGACTTAAGCACTTAGGAGCCACATTGGTATGCAATTAATGTAGTAGTTCGTTTACATTTGAGCGCTGCAATGCACAGCCACAGCCGCAGTCTCGGCCACAGCCACTTAAGCGTCTATGATGGGGTGTATTAGATGCTAGGCGCACCACTACAGGCGCACATGCAATGCTTTTGGTCAGCAACCGGTTGCGTAGCCGGTTTGGTGGCACTTTTTTCGGTCGCCCATCAGCAAGCTGTAAGTTGTTGTCGCCGTTGTATGTTGCCGGTGTACGCACACACATGTTGCAGTTGCACGTTCGCAGCAATGTTGCAACATTGTGTTAGCAGTCGGCCGCCTCGTTGCTTTATTGCCATAAATATGTGCGGCACGTAGACGCAAGCTCAAAATGCGACAATCTATTTGCTACGAAATTGTCGCGGCGTTGTTGTTGTGCGCCGATGCTCTTACTGCCTGCGCGATTTCGTTAATAAATACAGCTATGCGCTGGCAGTTTGTATGTAATTATTTTGGCATGTCTGCGCGCAAAATAGCAAATCGCCTATTGAGTTTTCTTATACAAAACTCGCAGGCCTCATTTCGACGTGTAATCGTTAATTAATGAATGTCACGTGAGGGAATTCGTTGAATTTCGTATTTATAATGAGTTTATGTAATTGAAAATGGCAATTATATACTCGAAAGTATGGCAAGTATTGAAATTATTTGAAGCATAATAATTCTACTTTGCTTGCTTGGACTTAACTGAATTCCGTTTTTGTTACAAAGTAATTAATTACCCTGATATTCAGTACACATAGAAATATTCTATTTAAAAAAAAATATTTAAACTTAACTCTGGCGATATCGTCCTGCATAGGTGCTTTTCTTCCCAAACTATATGTATAATTGCCCTTTCAAAATCCAGACCTTTTATAGAAGACTTAGTCATTTCAAAAGGTGTCTTCTCGAAATTTACCAAAATTATAATTAGAAAGGCCCTTAAATGCTTTTTAGTGCAACATTACTACTGCAAATTTTTTATTTCAAATTTTTCTGGGCTAATTTGAATACATTGACAGCAAACATTGTATGCCAGGAATATTTTTGGAATTAAAACTTAATTCAATCAAGTGCTTTGTGGCTGGTGAGGGGTAGGAAAACTTGTAACGGTGACATCTGAAAATGCTGTTGACCTCTAAGGCTTTTCTTAGCTAGTTGCTGTGTCTTGGCGTGGTCAGCTCTTGTCCCTCTAAGAATTTAAAAGGGATAAATTCGGGTTTCAAACGCTTTTCAAGCAAACTTAAAAAATTTTATTTTTATTTGTCTAAAAGAAACGTATGTACCGTCCGAATGGACGAAAACACTCCAGCTCTGAAAGTATTCGACGCTGTACCCGCCGGGGGAATCAGAGGAAGAGGAAGACCTCCACTCCGTGGGAAGGACCAGGTGGAGAAGGACTTGCTTGGAATATACAATTGGCGCTACGTAGCGAAAAGAGAAACGACTGTCGTGCTGTTGTTAACTCGGCCAGTGCTTAAGTGACTCTTATATCGTGATGCGATACGATTTTAAGGTCGAGATGTGATGTTATTCAAAAATTCAGATGTGACTTCACAGGAAGCCGTAACTACCATCGGGCTCGATAAAAGAAAAGCAGGCACCGTGACTGGCCAAAGCTTAAGTGATTTTCATGTCGTGATTTGATGTGATTTAAAAGTCAATATTTAACCTTTTGGAAAGCTGGCTCTATAAAAGAACGGCTAGTACTGTCACCTTAACTCACTCCTATGTCGAAATTGGATGTGATTTAAAAGTCATGAGATGACCTCACGGGATGATGGCTACTGGACAGTGATTAAGTGATTCTTATGTCGAGATGTGATGTGATGTAGACAAATGGTCAGTGAGCTCGGCAGTATGTAAACAAAAAGGTCATTGATTCCATAAAATGTAAACAACTTGGTCAGAGACCCTAAACGTTAGAAAAAGGGTCGTTGGCCTCATTAAATGTAAAAAAACGGGTGAATGACTCGAAATATATACAAAGGTTGTTGCCTTACATAAACGTAAACAAGGATGGACTTGGCTAATTGTAAACAAATAGGATCAATGACCTCGCCAACTTAGAAATTGAATTGAACTCATAAACGTAAAAATTGATCCCAACGAAAGGCTCAGTGACCCAAAATGCAAACATGGCTAAAGGAAAAATAAATTTATAGACTTGTCTAAGTGTAAACAAGAGGGTCATTGACTACAATTAAAATGTAAACAAAGCGTCAATGATCCCATAAAATATAAACAGAACGGTCAGTGACCCGAAATATAAAAAAAAAATGTTCTTGACTTGACTAAAGGTCAACAATGTACATTTATATAGTACAGCTACAACCTCTGAACAAATTGTTCAGATCAGTCCACTAAAACAAATAGCTGCCATACAAACTGACCGATCAAACTGAAGTCCTTGTACAGAAAACTTTTTTATCTCAAGTCATTTCTTCCCGAAAATTAAGCAAAGATTAATCTTCAAAGCTTCGTTATAATCTCCGAACAAATTTCTTTAGATCGGACTACCGTAGCATATAGCTGTCATACAAACTAATCGTTCAAAATCCAGTTCTTCTATGGAAAGCTTATTTATTTGATAGGATATCATAACGAAATTTGACATAGAGTAATATCTGTAGCAGTGGTAAACTCCGCTAATGATTTTTTTTAATCCGATCACTATAGCATATAGCCACCATACAAACTGAACGATCAAAATTAAGCTCTTATATGGAAAACTTTTTTATTCTTTGAGCGAAACGAAATTCACGAAATTTGCTACAGGTTATTGTACATAGTAGTAATGTAATCTCCGAAGAAATTGGGATATAGATGCCATGAAAACTGAACAGCCAAAATAATGTCTTTGTTTAGGAAACTGTTTTATTTGACAGGATTTCTTCATGAAATTTGACATGAATAGGTATATATGTTCTTACTTACTTAAATTTATGTTAGTTATGTAATAAATTATATTTGTGAAAGTTGTATGCACGTTTTTTATATCTTATTATTAAAACTTAATTATTCTTCCTCTGATTTATTTTTAGCAGCGGCAACCACTTACAAGCAGCATCAAGAGTCATAGCAGTAAATATTTCTCTGCAAATCACAACACGTCTTAACACGCTCAACTGCGTGGGTGTCAAAAGCAAGCAGCTACCAACAACAACAACATACAGCGGAAGGAAAATCACAAAGCGAAGTGAACAGTAGCAATTGGCAGAACCGCAATTGCGAACAAAAAGATTAACACTCTCGCTATACCAACACACACACACCTATCTATATATGTATGTGCAACCGATGCAGCAAACAGCGCACGAATGCCTGCAACAGCCGCCAACATCAACACGATTATTGCCAGCAATCAGCAAGTGCCATTGCCGGCAGCAAGAACAACAATCAACAGCAAGCAACGCAGCGCTGGTGGTGGCAATAACAGCAACAACAACAGCAGCAACATCGTCGGTAGCAACAATAATTACAATTTACGTCCAACGATTGCCGTGAAACCAAAAACAACCGCAGCGACAGCGACCGCAGCAGTAGCAACCACTGTTGCCTCACAATGCAAACCGCAATACGGCAACAACAGTAATACGAACAACAGCGAGCACAATAATCAGCATAGCAAGAGCAAGCAGTACGACGCATACAGCAACAGCAATAACAAAAACGATTGCGGTGTCGTTGCTGGTAGCAGCGGCAGTGGCAGTGGCAGCAACAACGCCAACAATAGCAACAACAACGATATGCCCGGACGTCATAGCTGGGACCCGGGTCGCATCGGTGTCGAACATTTGGCCGGCGCATTAAGTCCGCTCTGCATCACCGATTCGAGTCATGAAATCGTGCGACCGAAGCCGCGTAGGTGAGTGTCGCTGCCACCAAGGCAATATCTGATTGATTTCTAGCGCATTTGCATGTACATTCAAATATTATATATTATAGTATGTAAGTGCATATAACTGGATTTGGTTGTGTGTGTATTGATTGTGGAATTTGTGCTTGTGGATTGTGGTTGAATTGTGCGCCTGAAAGCAGGCAGTAGCAAACAAAATTTGTTTTGGATAGCAATACTGCTAATGCTTTCGAAGAAAATCGTAGCATACCTTTAGGCTGAACAAAGCCATGTGTGTTTCAGAAATACCTAAGGCCCCTGTCGGAAAATTTTGGTTCGTACTGATAGCAAAAATGCTAAAAGATTTATTTTATTGAAAGATTTTGTAATTGATTAGTGCAGAGAAAGCCTTTGAAATTGATAAAAAAAAACTTTAAAAATTAGAAACCCCTTCGGATACGAAATTTATAATAACAAACATTAAAGGAAAATAGTTTACTGTCGATCTGTGCTCGGGAAAAGGAAGGAGATGAACGTGATTGAATTCCTAAGCGTTAAAAAACAGTTTATCTCTATTTCCGGCAAAACTACGCGTCCTAAGGAAAAAAGTTCTATGACAATGTTGTAGGTCAAAAAAAACTATAGGTTTTGTTTATAAACTTTCTTCAGATAACCTCAAATTTTATTTGAAAAATTTATCTAACAAAGTTTTTGCAATTTTTATTTATATGTTTTTTCACATAACCTCACAATTCATGAGAAAAATACATAAAACCAAGTTTTTTGAAATTTGTCTTTTTTTTTTTTAAATCAAACATTTTGTTTCTTTCACGAAATGTGTTACCTTACCTTCTTATCTACCAAACACACTGTGTTTTTTTATTTAAAATATTATTATTGTATTTGCAAAATTTATACATTTTTCCATTAACTGCCGCATTGCCATATAACTTTTTTCTATAAGATCCCTAATTTTGACAGAAATCGCGTTAAGCCCTCTACCAGTGTCTCATACCGTATTTGTGCCGAAATTTGTGCGTGTTGCGGCTTTAAGAAGCGCAACCGCAGTTGCTAAAATAGCAAAACGACACTCCAACAACAACAACAAAAACAGCCGCCAGCAACCGCAACCGCTTAACAGCTGTGTTAGCGCTGTATCATCTGAGCGCTGGCGAACACTTGTCGGATATTAGTTTTCACCATTAACCTTGACCAGCATTCTGCCCTTCTGGCGCGGCGTGCTGCGCAGCTGCGGCTTCGTTTGGCGGTTTATTGCCGCTTGAACACTTCTACACTTCCAGCGCATAACTAAAGGCTGTGTGAATTTGCGTGCGCGTGCGCCTTTTTTCGTGTGGTTAGTTCACAACGGCATTGCCGATGATGAGTTGCTAAAACTAAAACTGTTTACTTACAGCTCCATGTGTGAATGTATGTGTTTGTGCGTTGATTTGAATCTGAATTCAATTCAATTCGTTTGTTTTCGTGTCATTTGTTGTTGCACTGCGCTGCTCTAAACATCGAACGCTTGCAATTTTGATGCTTGGATTTGAAACCGATTCTCATTCAATTTATGTATATATGTATGTTGGTAGTATTGCCAACTGACTAAAGACAGCAAAGATGACCGCAAATGTTGTTTGTTATAAAAATATTGGATTTTTAAAAAATAAAACTTTAATTTGTTCGATAAATTTGTACAGCAGCTATCTGTTATAGTGAACCGATCTAAACAGTTTCTTCAGAAATTGTAGGATTGCATGAGTCAATTATCCATGTCAAATTTCGTGAAGTTATCTTCACAAATAAAAAAGTTTGCCATACAAGGACATGATTTTGATCGTTTAGTTTTAAGGCAGCTATATATTTTAATTATCCGATCCCAACAATTTTTTTGTAGATTGTGCTAACCCATGTCAAATTTCGTGAAGATATCTCTTCAAATAAAAAAGCTTTCCATACAAGTATTTGATGCCGATCGCTCAGTTTGTAGTTTACACTGTGCAGGGTAAGCGCTGTCTACGCCAATAAAGAAGAAGAAGAAGTGTATAAATTTATATTATATAATTCGTGTGCATAATTAAGTGCTGACTTTATGGCTCATATTTTCGTTTAACTATTTCGATGTTTAATGTTTTGCTCTAGAACGTCCAACAACACGTAGTAAAATTTAATGCTCTAGTGACGCTGACCTTGGGCGGTATTCACACCCAACCTGGTTGTGTCAACACTTTATAAACGCTACTAAAGCGTAATTAAATACTCCTCCGCCTGTGAGTTAATTACTCATTAAGTTAGTTAGTTTGTTACGTGAAGTCGCGCTTGAACAATATTATTTTATAAAAACATTTGAGGAGTAATTGATACTTTTAGTGATTTTTTATTTTATTTTTCGTTTCCTAATTTACCCTCATATTAAAATTGAAAAGACAGTGAATGAAGTATTGCTAAGAGTGTCCTCATATTTTTACTGTTTTTAATGTTCTTAATTTTGAGGAATACTGCTAAGTTTTTAGGTATTCGTCGGCTAAAAATCTGACTTTATTCAATTTAGAAAGGCCCGACTATCATGAAAACGGCTTTTCATTTATTACGCTGTCTTTATACCAGCTTTGTTCATTGCTCCACTTTACTCCTAGCTAAGGATTAGCTAATGAAGTGAAACAGTCTCAAGAATTTGTTGAATGATTTAACTCTTTCTACTCTTATATGTAAACCCCTACATATAAGACCCCTAATAGACAGATGCTGGCGTAGAAATACTGCAATATATTTCAAGCAGTCAACTTTGATATTGGAAAAGTCGAGAAGCTAACCTCTAATGCATCAGCAGACAACTTCAGGGTCGACATACGTAGTCAGCCAAACAGCAATCCTGGTCATAGCGTAACGGCAGTAATGAGTTAGTGGACGATATTGTCAAGTGCGGCGTATGACTGCCATTAGAAAACGTCATCGATATTGGTAATTGTTTCTACACATTGTTGATAGAAAGGACCGTACGAACATGATTGGATTACTCTTTGCAAAATGGGACCGACTGAACGATTTAACCATGGTAAGTATCAAGAGACACCAGTGCAACAATGGAGCACCTCTTGTTCATTTGCCACGCCTCAAGCATTTGGGTGATCCACGGCATGGCATCCTGGAAGTGGTATAGTTGGTGGGGCCGCAAAACCTATTGAAATTCGTGTCAAGCTCTGGCATCCTGATTGATGACCGCTTCTCATGGACTACTAACGAAATCATCGTTAATGATCAATATTAGTTTATATGGCACGTGGTCTACTAAACTTGAATCTAACCTGACTCGTCCTAGAACATATAATCTTGAAAATTTCACATATTTCTCAATGCTTCATGAGGTTTTGTATATACTAAGAAGTCTTGTGTGACTCTACTTCTTTGACCAAAAAATTATCTTGAGCAAGTGGGGTTAGGCCGTCGACAGCAAGGGCCTACGTAACGTACAGTGAATGTTCTATTTTATCTTGAGTTGTAAGAAATGCCCACAGTCTTTTAAGTATATACGCTAAGAACAAAAAAACAGAAAGTTTCAACACAAAATTTTATCAAGAAAAGAATAGAGAGAGTAATTACTCGCATGAATTCTCACCAGCAAGCAGAAAAATTATAAGTGCCACTTGGTTAAAGTAAATAATTTATCATCTCACACCCAAGACGGACCTGCTGCAAGCGACCTTGCCCACACTTGTGGCAGTGATTTGAGATTTCGATATCAAACTGAGTTTCGCAAATAGTTTCAACCGACCAAAATTGAATTATCTGCAAGAATTGCATATTTGCGATAAAAATAGTTTAAATACTCAGTGCTAAAAAGCGACAGCGCTTATTTTGTAATCCACACATGCTCACATTGACTTACTTACATACCAACTGAAGTCCAAAAGCCAGTGCTGCGAGTGATGAATTGTTGGCTGCGACTAAAGTGCGTCCAAAGAATTCGCCAAAACGCAACGCAAAGAGCGGAGTTACATAAATACCCTAGCTAGTACCAAAAGCGCAATAAAACAACAATAAAGTTTGGCGTGAACGCGCGCTTTATTAAGCAAAATCAACAGAAACTGCAAAGCGCAGAAAAAGAAGAAGAGAAGCCGCGAAGCCGAAATAGAAAATTTGCGCTGACAGCAACAAGCGCAGACGGAGATAAACGAGCTGAACAGCAGCAACCTTTGTAAGCAGTTGGTAATTAGTTGATGTTGTCTGGGGCTGCCTTAAAGTGGACCGCGTACACGCTTAGAAGGTTCACAGATGACAGTTAAAAAAAAAAAAAATACGATGGAAATAGAAACAAAAAGTATTGTAGAAAACGTAAACAAAAAAGTCGAAAAAAATAAGCAGCTTGTACACAGCGTCGGCCAAAACAACAAAAAAGTCGAAAATAAACAAAAAATAAGCAGCTTTTACAAAAGCGCCAGAAACTATCAGATTTGCCAACCAGTAGTCAGCAACTTTGACCGTTTGGTTGTTTTTCACGACAGCCAACCAATTATTTACCATTTGCCTCGTTATGGTGCTAAAACCGAGTTAAAGACGTAATTACATGGCCGCTGGACACGGCAGCGCGCAAAAAGCCATAAGAACGCAGTAGAGGTAGCGGTCACTTCGTCGGCCGGCGTTGCAGAGGTGAATCCACATTGCTTGGACGCTTGAAAGTGAGCTGGCGTGGAAAAGCCGGGCTGAGCATGCAAAGTATTAGCATAGAAAATTAAAAAACAACAAAAACACAAAATAAATAGACAAATGAGAAGGAATACTTACCAACTAAAATGAAGTAAATTCGAGTTATTGTTTGGAGAAAATTTGCGCGCAATTTGGGCGAAAAAAAAAATACAAAAAAAAATAAAATAAAATAAAAAATTATAAAATTAAATATAAAAAAATAAAAAAATCTTCTTTACTAAAATTGAAATAACAAAAGTGAGCATTGCGCATTCTTTACTTGCAGCAAGTCAAGCTTTGTTTGTTCATGCGTACAGCTGTATATTACTAGATGTAAGTCTAAGCTT